TACATTTAGCCTTAGAATACAACTATGAGTCGAAATTAACTCTAACTTTTCTGAAAAGAAAGAAATTTCATTTGCTTATATTTTTCGATTCGTATGAATTATATATTTTTATTACTACAGAAAAGAATATTGAATAGGATACTCGATCGAAAATGCTCAAAACCATTGAAGTTATATCAAAATTACTGGATCATTTGAAGCTAAACGATTGGTACATTTAATGATGCAGCGCTTGTGATTCAATCGATCAAGAAGTTAATCGAGCTCCGTATCGAACAATTGAAATACTATTTGTCAACAGTTAGGGTTCATGACGGTATAAATTTAAATGCCGGTATTGATTACAGTGCATCATCATTTGAGACAGTATCACCGCTGACAAATAATGACTACGAGGGTATGGATGTGGGGAACAAATTTTTTTCTTCTAAAGTTTCTTTTTTCTAAATATATTGTTAAATAAATACGATTGCTCTTAAATCATTACTGTGACTAAAATGAGGCATCATCGGTTTATTAAATGGAAGGTGTGGATGTAGGTTGAATGGCGAGATGGGTGTGAATGGGATGTGGACCTTCTCCTCGTGTATACCCACCCACCCTTTAGATGCCAAGTTCGGAATACACCACTATTGAAAATTTTATTGAAAGCTGGGAACTTTAATTAATATATTCATATCGATATATGTCTAGTTTTTGAGAATTTTGAGCTGAAAATCTTAAAAGACTGGATTCAACATTATGCTTGGGCTTTTAGAATACTTAAAATCGCTTCAGTTTTCTGAATAACCTTTATAATTAAAAATTATGAGTATACATGAAACATAATACACGACCAGAGGCCTTCTATTGTGTAGGGCGGGGTTTAGATGTTTTCTTTTCTTTTATTTCATATTATTTGGATATTTAGTTAACAGTTTTCGTTTACTTTGCATAACAATGATGAAAATAAAATGCTACATAATAGAAGAGAATTATTCCGATTCCTATGCAGGGCTCTAGCGGATAAGAGGAACTACTGAGATTTATTTGTCTATTGAAAATTTATTCATTATGACACCATGTCAGTTCATCTGCGCCTACACATCGACAAACAACACTCTTTTCATTGGATCTGATGACAAACTTGGGAGATTCTCGATTCAACGAGGATCTATCAGAGAAACGATAGTTTGATCTGACTTTACTCATAATGATCGTGAAGGAGAACCAAAAAAACCATTAATTGGTTGTACTAAAAAGTTTTGTTTCGTCTTTCTATGCCATAGTAACTGTTACATGAGCTTAGCAATCAATATCAATCGAGAATTGAAAATTCATTCGAGTTGGTAATTGTAACAAATACTCTGTATAATTGAATAAATATATAGTTGAAAATTCCAATAAAATACGTAGTAGTATGTGGATGAAAATGACTAGAACATGTACGAATTTGTAGGTAAACAAAGCAGAAATTGAATGATTTTTTTTCAACTCAAGGCAGTAAAGATAAATTTTCATGAATCAAGGCTTTTATTTGATTTAATACTAGAAAGAATTGTGATCTTAGTCATAGTATGACAGGAAGTAACTTGCCATCTCTTGTACATAGGTATATAAAAATGATTGATAACACATTGTATCATTACGTCTTGCAATTGATTTCAAACTACAGAAGTTTATGCGAAATCAAATCGATGTCAAAAATGTCAGTCAGACAGTGAACAGGGTGTGGGTGGATGGGTGTGGGCGTGGAGTGTGGGAGGAAAGATCCACATCGGTACCAACACACACATTCCACACACCCAAATCCACAGCCATCCACACCCACACCCAAAGCTTTTATTTCTTGAAAGGAATTTTCTGACTGACATAGGATCATTTTCGAGAAAATCAAAATCGTTTTTGTGCAAAATAGTTACATGTCTGCATAACCATGCGAGAGTTTCCCAGCGTGCCCTATTCATGAGAAAAAAAAGGACATAGAGCAGCTAAGACTAATCCACTTTAGTATTTCAATAGCTTCGTTGTTTTTTCATTTGTTCTTTGAATTTCTATTAAATATTCTTTCATATTTTTTCTTATGTATTCGAATTTCTTTCTCTCATACTTTTGTACTTAATACGGTTAAAACTTATTTTTCTACTAATCAAAACTCTGTAATATACTGATAAAGCTTGTATTTTTGATTTGAATAAATTATATTTTTCTTTTATTGTTACGTATTTCGAATGAATTGATCATTTTATTAATAAAGTATCCGAAGACAGAAAGTCCAGTAAATCTAAAACATACTCTGCAATCGTGAATATGTGTTTCTGACATTTGACAACATAAATTAAAAGATCTAAGACAGCTTGATAATAACAAATATGAAACGAAGTACATAACAGTTGGGAATAAAACATATTGAAATTGATAAGCAGAACTAAATAAAAAAAGAACGAGCCATTCGACCGCCACAGGAGACACACAATTTCGATTTTTGAGAAGATCAGGATTCGAAATGGTTAACATTTGAATATTATTTCATTTCACAGATTGAACAGTTAACTCGTTACTTTCCAAATAAATTATAAACGAGATGAGTAATTAATTGTCGATTACCTGCTTTAGCAAGATTAAAACCAGACTATTCGCCTTCATCACATTGAAAAAGTGCACCGTTCGTAATAATCAATGATTGGAAACTGATCGAAACTGTTTCGTAGTGTAAATTGTTGAACACTCTTCTCAAATGTCCACCAATTCGAGTGCGCCCATAATCGATAAGATTCTATCGCACAGGTTGAAATGTTTTAAGCTTTTGTATAAGCTGGCGGACATCCGACTTTCTTACTCAGAAATGATCGTATATCATTCAGAACGCCATTTTTTTGAGAAAATGAAGGTTTTTTCAAAAAAATATTTTTCGACCAGAAATACCTGGGAGATCTCGAAACATTGGGAAGCTTTCATGAAAATAGCTTGAAATGCAACTTTCTTGTTTGAAAACGATTTTATTTTGCTCAGATATGTTTGTACATCATTTAAGAAATCATATTAGAGAAGTAAAATCCTTTTTCGAAAAAAAAAGAATTTTTTTTGTGAATATCTTTGCAGAGACCCTTGCCTATATTGTTCGAAAAATTCTTTCCTGAAAAGTATTTTGAGATTTACATCGTTCGACATAGTTTAATACGCTGATTCCGAATATCACCTTTTGTTTTCATTCAAATCAAAGAATAATATGGATGCCTAAAACCGGATTTTCTATAGAAGATCTCGGATTTTAGGAACAATCTAAAATATCTTAGGACAGGTTTCATGAGTTGGCGCTACTACCATTATTAGGATACATATGTAAAAGTATATTTGATCAAAATTTGAGCTCGATCAGACATTACTTCTTTGCAGCATTTACAATTTACGGAATGGTAGGTGTTCAGACAGGTTTTCGGCTTAGAGACTCTTTGTTTTCTATTCTATTTTAAATTGAATTACGATCATTTTTTTAAACATAGACCTTCCAAGTGAACAAGTTTTTCATGATATTATTTGCTTAGGAAATATTGTGTTATATTACCGCGTGGCTTAATTTCCTACATTTATACTGGTTTCTAGGCCAAAGTCTTACCAAACTCTTTAAAATTTTGAGAACCGCTATTTTAGAAAATGACAGATCACATATCCATGCATCGATGCAAATGGTTAGATTCTGGAAAAAAATATTTTTGTGCATGCTCACCTGATTCTCCACTGTGTCAAGTTATCTTTATTGAGCAAATCGTATGTTGATAATAATTTTTTTTTCATCAAAACAAACTTTTTCTTCTCAGTCAATGTCTCATCAGCATTTTGCGTCATGCGCGAAAAACTTTTGTTGCTTATCGAATCAACACAGGTAAGTTTCAACATTGTTGCGCGTTTCGTCAAGTTATCTTTGTAACTTCGATGACGCTTGTGATAACAGTGATTTTTTTATCTTATGCAAGTTATGAATAAGATGAGAGAAAAACAGCAGTCCATTTTTTTAATCTACGGTAGGACTCGTTGTCGAAAAGTGAGATAAGTGAAAGCAACTTCTATTGTAACTCCGTTGGAATGAGTTGAAGTAAATTATTTATGAGAGAGACATAAATATAGGTCATAGCAGCAATGATCCACAGGCGAGATACGTTTTTATCGAATGATTCTAGTACAAGATGGAATATTTAATTCTACATGAGAGAGGATTTCGATATTAAAGGACTAGGAATGGTAGCTTAATCTAGATCCAATTGCATTTTAAGATGGGACACTGAGTTTCTAAAAAGATCCAAAATGATGTGTGACACGACCAAACTTTTTTGAAAATATGTATTCGATGAATACTGAGCATGATTGAGAGAAATGTAAATTAGCTTTTGAAAATGTATTATTCTTACGCATAAATGACATACTATTCTTTTCACTGATCAACATTCATTTTTGTCCTTCAAGAATTCATTTGAACAATGGCCTCGAAATGTGTCGACGACGATCAACCAAAACACACCCAACGCTTTTCAGACATTGCTGAGGAGCCCAGACGAATGCTCGGACCCGTTCAAGGCTTCGAAACATTACCTATTGTTCATCTTGAAGAAGCTGTTGATCATCTTGTCCCAATTGTACCAGAAGTGCAGCAAATGGTCTGGACAGTCAAGCAGAATTGCGACGAACCAGGAGATGGTTTGACGAGCGATGAATCTGCTTCTATCATGCTCTATACACTGGAATGGACACCAACAGAAAACTCTTTTTATCGCATTCTAAATACAACTCTTCGTACAGAAAATCGTGACAAATTAAAACCCTGGTTTTTGTACTTGAGACTATTTTTTACATCTATTGCAAAGCTTCAATCAATGCGTCTCACTGTCTATCGTGGAGTGAAAATGGACTTACATGAGTTGTACCCCGTAGGAAAGACATTTGTGTGGTGGGGCTTTTCGTCGTGTGTAGCTTCTGTTAAGAAACTCCAATCAGAACAATTCCTCGGTCAGACGGGCAAAAGAACAATGTTTCAAATTGAATGTGATTCAGGCACAGATATTCGTCAACATTCATTCTATCGAACAGAAGAAATTCTCCTTCTGGCTGCTCGACAGTTCAAAGTTGTCTCGTGTTCGAACATGGGTAATGGTCTTCACATCATTCACTTGAAGGAAACTGAACCACTTTTCCCACTCATTGAACTCGTGCCTGAGGTGAGTACACTCGTTTTATTGTAAGCTCGTCAAATACAACATATAATCATATATTTCTCTAGGCTGCTAAAAAAGTGCCTGAAATTCATTCAATCACATGTCTATTGACACAAGAACCTACTAACAGGTAATTACAGTTGCAATAGGTTTGCGCATATTATTGTCTTTCTTACTTTTCTAGTTTTACCGAGTTGGGTGGCAAAGAGCAAGTGACAAGTATGAATAAAAAATTCTTCTATTTCCATTAACTGCGATCAAATAGATGCCGTATATACTAGATGCATTCTATCTTTCCTAACCGATAGTCCAGATCGACATGAACATGTAAAATCTGTAAAGCCAATACTTTCATGGAGGAGATGTCCTTAATTCCTTTCAAGTAACCATATTTTGTCAGAATATCACGGGTGCCATCAACACCATGGTCAGAATTATTAGAAAAATGCCATCTATGAAAAATATGAAAGACTAGAAAGCAAACGAAATATTCGAGGATAGTGGATGGAATTCCTTTTAGAAAGCAATCAATAATGTTTTGTTTCTGCTGGACGCGAGCCATTAATTCATGAAGACAGGATGTGGAAACACATTCAGTATTTGCGTTACCGTCTCAAAAAAAAGAGAGAGTAGTTTATTTTTTTGCTGTATAACGCCGCGATTCTTTTGTGAGCCTTGATTGTTAATCAGTGTGAAAGTCTATCACGATAAGCTGCCCTTCCATCTACACAGATCGTGACATACTTGTTGATATGTTTCTTTCGTCTTGGCAAAGATAATGGCAAGACTCAATGCCTCACAAATGAAAAGAATAGAAAGCGCTTATACCTAATCAAAAGCTTTGATTAAGAAAATATGTTGAACTAGGATTATCCGAAACAAAAATTTGAGCTATAACATAATACAGCTTGTTTTATTTATTACGTAATCTTGTTGTTTTTTTAAAGTATCGAACAAAAGTCAATAGCTTTTTAAAAAATTAACACTAGGCTAGTGTTGGTTTTTACAGTCGCTAACCTGATATGTGTGTTTTGTATGAAGTTTCACTAGGGTCATACCCTCATGGTTAAACAAGGCTTCGTTTTTCCAGGCTAATAGAATTCATTAAATCTTTCATTTAGAAAATCAACAAACTACATCATCAAACTCTCAAAAGCAACTTGGCTGCGGTGGTCATGCTTGTACAACATGTGATGGTAGTTCATTTTCCACGAGGTATTTTATTGAGTTCGTCAATTGCAATATAATTGTCCAAAGTGAGCAAAATAGGTGAATAGTATCCTGGTAACTGTCGTGATTGGTATCATGATGGTAATTCTAAACGTAAAAAGCGTAACTATCAGAAGTGTAATGATGCTACTTGTCGTAGTTCTTCTCTTCTTAATCAGAATTTTCATTATTCTCTGGGTGCTCTTGCTACTCGTCCTTTATGTGACTGTGATGATAACATTAAAAATTAGCCTTAATTATCAGGATGTTGGTGTGCCTGTCTGAGACCATCTTAGATGTGTATCTTACGATCTAGGGATGAAAAGGAGTGTGGCTGTGGCTATGGCTGTGTTTTCTCTTGTGATTTATAGAAAAACATATCATAATGGATCATTTTAGTAATATGCCATGGATTCATTTTGCCATTGAAGACCTAATGTTAGACGATAGTAAAACTCAACAATACTAGAATTAGTTTCAAAGTTTATTCCATTCTTCAATCAAGAGACCTATTATAATTACAACGTTGAGTTGTCATTTTTATAAAATTAAACAAATATTGATAATTTTTAATATAATTATGATTTTTTGAATTATGACTACAGATGTTTTAGAAAATCCGACTGATTCACGCAACATCTGCAAGAGGGAAAAAAAACGAACGAAAATGAAGAATTTATCATTTTATATATAGTTTGACTTTAAAAAACGACAGATCGTAAGAGACCACAAAAAGGGAATGTATAAACCTGCAAATAATTGAATATTATTCATCATTGCACAATATATCTGCCACATGTGTTTTTCTTTTTAATATTTCTAAAATTTTTTTTTCTCATCCCCCGTCCTCGTCAATTTTAAAAATCTTGCGTAGTATCTACGTGAAGTATAGAAAAACCACTAGTTTTTCAAAATAAGTATAAAAGCCGAAAGCGAAAGCATAGATATCAGAAATCTAGTGAGTCTAACTAAGAATTTTTTTGGATATGTTCTGCTGACTACTGAATTTGGACGCTACGTTATAATAGTGATTCATAATTAAAAGTAGTTTAAACAAATGGCATCGACATCGAAGTAAAACTCAAACAATTTTGTTCTAGGTGAATTCGATACTACAGAGAAAAGCTTTAAAATTTTCAATTAAAACTTATTTTACTGAACAGACAGTTGAGCAATAGTAAAGTAATTGAATAGCATGGTGATGTAGACAAGTGTCTATCATTTTTTATTCTAAATATTAAAACTATTAGATTGATATACCATCGTTTTACTGCGCCCATTTTAATAACATATTTATCTATGATTTGTTTTTTCAAATTTTAACATTTTCACACTCCCTATCCTACTAGATGCAGTAAATAAAGAGAGAGATGTGATGGCAACCTTCTGAAGTAGTTAATATGCAATCATTAAAAAAACTTTTATTTAATATTAATCCTCTCATGTCGTCTTCTTTTATTGAATAACGCCATGATCGCACTCCGTTTTTATGCGGAACAACGCACTTATTGTCAGAGATATTTGAATTTTTGCTATGTGATATAATCTTTGCGACATTGTGCATACAACCTCGAAATATATTCAACCATTGACGTAGTCTTCAACAATCAAAATATCAGTTCTTGCATCAACTGTTTACTTTCTGAAATCAAGTTTTTGCGATTTTTTTAATCATATCATATTTTTCGATATATCCAGACAAAATCATACGATACACTGACACAATATTATTGGCGTGCTAAATTTAGTTTTCTAACTATTCTACCAAGATTTACTATTATATAAGGATAAGTACTATATTGAAAATAATATTTTGTTAGCGAGGTATCGCTATAGTTTCTAATAGAGTAAATAATGAGTTTTATATCAAATGAAAGCGCGTCGCACATGGAATTTATTCATCCGCATCAATAAGGATTATAAATATTATAAACTGGCTGTGATATAAAAATATTGGACATACCAAAGTTTTACGTACTTTTTATGTTTGATCTCTCTTCTGTGACAACATTTTGTCATGCTTATAATTCATAAATGTTGATAAATTTTCAAAATTTGTCAGCAAATAATATTTATAGTCCTTATTGATTCGGATGAATAAATTTCATCTTCGATGATTTTCACTTGATATAAAATTCATTATTTACTCTATTTGAAACTATAGTTGTACCCTCCTATCAAGATATTATTTCCAACCTAGTACCACTATCTCCATTAATAACAATGATATTTCTTAAATCAATTGTAATCTTCCATTTTAACCTTTGCCGAACACATAACTACTTAGCGATTCGCAAACAAAACAGACGATCATGCATAAGAATAAAACAAATATAGAGAAAATTAGTTGCAACCAGAGTCAGAGGTCAACGATTGTTAAAGAGAAGAACATACAAGAAATGAAGTGCACGGTTCATTTAATCATCATGACAACATTATGGACAACTGCTTATACAAGTAAATTTGTATACGAAAAAAATGATTCGCTTTTCTAATTCAAATCAAAGATAAATAGTTTGAGATAGTCCACGTCACTTGGCGAATTTGTCATATTCAATAAATAAAGTGATTTAAAGGAAAATAAATAGTTTCTGAAAAATTTTTGGCATTAGAAATTTTCTCGAATTTTATTGGTAAAATCGAATGTATTACAGTAATTCAAAACTTCTATCATTTTATTTTTCATTCTCCGTTACTTTAGATATAATTTTCATTAAAAAAACTTAGGTGTCACTAATCCTGATGATACAAATCTTTTTCTAATTCTAGAGTAAGTGCAGAATTCATTTTTCTAATCATTTGTATTTAGATTTTACAACAATAGACGATGATTTAAATAATGATTTATAGAAAATTTCAGTAATGAACGAATGACAGGTTGAAAAATTAAATCTTTACAGACTAGCAACTATTTTTTTTTCGTATAGGAAATTCGATTTTTCGGAAAACTTTTTTTTTTATATTGATCATGTTTTCGTGTTGAATGTCAAATGACATTTATATTAGTAGTTAATTATTATTGTGATTTCTTGTGTAATCAAATACAAGTTCGAAAGTAAAAGTATTTATTGAAATTATTTACAAGTAAACTTTTAACTATATCTAAGAATACAGATGTAGTGAAATACTAAAATACACAAAAGTGGGACGCTATAGCGGACATAACAGGCGCTAAAAGGAGTCACTATGCGATTGCAATAGCGGCGACAACACGCCGCTATTTAACTGCTATCGATGAGTATGGAAAACTAATCAAGCAATTTTGAAATAATCATCAAGTGAAACAACCTTAAAATCATTTATCATCCGTCAAATTCGATGGTCAATTTGTCTTCTCTTATGACATTTTTCAGGGAGTTGAAAGATTCAGATTGATCCAATTATATGAAAGTAAAACTATCAATTTCGAATAAAGAGAAACAAGTAACGCTCGTCTGTGTGACTCGCTTAACCCTCGACTGAATATTTCACTGCATCGGTAGTTGTTTATTACTGCAGACATTTTGCAAAAGGTAGCATCGGGCATTTGCACATGGCTTTGTGCTAGTGTCAACATTAGTGTACACATGTGTCGGCGTGTATAATGCTATTGGTACCGTTGTAATACTGCTAGCTATAACATTCGTTCATTTAATCTGTTACTCTATCAATAACACTCAAAAGAAATCTACGTGACCCACACTGACACAGCAATATCCTCAAACCACGAAAAAATAGTATATTCGATTTTCAGAGAAAATCAGCAGACAAAAAATATCAGCGTGACTGCAGTAAAGATGCACTACACTTCACGCAAACTATATTAATAATGCGTATACTCATAAACACATAGGCGGGCAATATCGCTGACCGGTACCCACTACGAAAATGCATGTTTAGCGTAGCTATCAGACTAAAAAGCTATATTTGTTCAAACTAATATCCGGTATACGCAAGTTGAATCAGGCTTCAACTCTGAGTCTTTGTGAGATTAAATAACGAATTTTAAATAGCCGGAAAAAAAATTTGACAAGTCAATGGGCAGATGATGTATCTATGAAGATAAAGGATTATTAAATTCCATTCAAGTCCACTTTTGATGATTCCATGCAAATTGTATTATTGACGCTTTTCAGGAAATGTTCGATTCCGATATTGAAGATCTCCGACACACTCGTTCTCACACTTCATTCAAATACACTTGTTAACCCTCTTGCTAGTTCTTCCTCCCATGAATCCTAGTAAGATCTAAGTGCTAGAGATCCTTCCAATGGATTAGAAGTTTAAAAGAATTCTATTCAAAGGATTTTTTAGGGCAGCAGCTAGTCACTCGTCGGCATCCGAGTGGGTCGTCACGCGCAACTAATTGCTGTTATGCATCGTTCTCTTCCAGTAATTATATAATCATGCACTGTTATTTAAATTTTACTGGATTCTAGATTTGGATTAGTTTCAAAGCTGCCTATATTTATCGCATGAGAAATCCCAAAGTGAAAATACTTGTGAACTATTCCTTATGCGTTTCAATCCTTTACCTAGCTAGTCAATCTAAGATTTCATGGAGCTCGCCATCGAAAGAAGCTTAAGTATATGATTTCACACAAAAAACTAGCTTAATAGACCATATCTCATACCAAAAAAATTGTGAAATAGAAATAGAAGCTACTATATTTCACTGTAGGAGTTCCGACGTGGCGCTATTCACACTTAGCTACTACTATCTTTGAACACATATTCTCATATGACTACTTTCTTATTCAAGGCATGACTAATCCACATTTCGACTGCTTCAAAAGCTTCTCTACTCGTAACTAAAGGGTACTAGATTTCCTATATCCAGCAAGATATCTATTAAATATATAGGTGTCGTCTCTCGAGTTTCTCCATGTTTATAGGAGTCCTTCTCTACATAAAATGTCACATGTTAAGTCTCTGTGGCACTTTTTTAAGGACCTTGCTTGATGTTATGCAGAAATGGCGTAAAACAGATTTGAATAAACCTAGTATAGAGGCAGCTATTCGTTCGCCGTCCTTCCGAAGGAACGCCATTCACGGCTATCCGCTACTTCCAGCTACTTTCACTCACGAAAGGTTGATACCATTTTCAAAATCGAGCCATCGTTCCTATTTTAAAAACTGATGGAAAGTTTGATCCTTTACAAAAAAATTCATCCACATTAGAAATTTTCTTTGGAAGCTTATCAGTATTCAGGAAGAGGACACGTTAGTATAGATTTACCGATAATCTGAAATATTCTGAATAAGTGGACACAGCCGTTGTATCCTGTCAATCTAAATAATTTTTTGCGTAACTCGCTCTCATTCCTCAATCTTTGTTCTACAAGCACTCTAATTTCATCTTATCTTCGTATTTCTTGATTCATTACACTACTGTCACGTATTACAAAGTACTTGCTGTTTCTCAACATCACTTCTCATAGAACGAATAGATTCGAGATCTGAATTTTGGAATCCTGATTCCAGATTCGGATTTCTCACCCTCGATAACCTCTAACAAAGTTCGATCAAAACGGCCAAAAGCCGTAAAATAAAAAAGTTCCTTTTTGATTGACCGGTTTCCGACCAATGAAACTTCGGTCAAAGAAATGGGCTTCGGATTCGGATTCAGGGCCATCGATAACCTATAGCAAAGCTTCATCAAATCGTCGAAAAGCCTTAAAATAAAAAAGCTGGTTTCTGATTGGTCGGATTTCACCCAATGAAAGCCCGACCAAAAAAACTGACTTCGGATTCGGAATCCTGGCCATCGATAACCTATAGCAAAGTTCACTCAAAACGACCAAAAGTTTTAAAATGAAAAAGCTCATTTCTGATTGACCGATTTCTGACCAATGAAATCTCGGCCAAAAAAATGGCCTTCGGATTCGGATTCAGGGCCACCGATAACCTATAGCAAAGTTCGATCAAAACGGCGAAAAGTCTTAAAATAAGAAAGTTCGTTTCTGATTGGTTAGTTTTCGACCAATGAAATCTCTGCCAAAAAAATGACCTTCGGATTCGAATTCAGCGCTCTCGATAACCTATAGCAGAGTTCGATCAAAACGGCCAAAAGTCTCAAAATAAAAAAAAGTTCGTTTCTGATTGGCCGGTTCCTGACCAATGAAATCTCGGCCAAAAAAATGGGCTTCGGATTCAGATTCAGGGCCCTCGATAACCTATAGCAAAGTTCCATCAAAAAGGTCAAAAGCCTTAAAACAAGAAAGTTCGTTTCTGATTGGTCGGTTTTCAACTAATGAGACCTCGGCCACCGAAATGGGCAATGGATTCGGATTCAGGGCCCTCGATAACCTATAGCAAAGTTCACTCAAAACGACCAAAAGTCTTAAAATAAGAAAGTTCGTTTTTGATTGGTCAGTTCCTGACCAATGAAACCTCGGCCACCGAAATGGGCAATGGATTCGGATTCAGGGCCCTCGATAACCTATGGCAAAGTTCACTCAAAACGACTAAAAGTCTTAAAATAAGCTAACCTCTCTGGTATGTTCTTTTGACCCTGCCACAAACACACAAACACACAAACTATTTTTTTTCATATGACCCTCCCTACAGTCGAGGGAACAAATTCATTGTTCGTGTATGTATACATATATATTGACACAGCAATATGATGGGCGAAAATGTCTAAGTGTGGACACGCCAATGAGGGCAAGTGTCAGTACGAACATGTTCATGAGCGATGGGATGCTAAATTTCATATTTTATCTCTCTATACTTCAAGCATCGTTCTAGTTCATGTTTGATAAAAATCGTAAATTGTAAGTATTTCGTTTCTAGATCAGATTGAATCAAACAGATTGAGAAAGATAAACAAAAATTAAGTTCCGGTCAGTCTTCAGTAGAAATAATAAAACAATCAATCAGTCACATCGATTGAATATTTATCGAATGAAATCTTCTATGAAATTTTCGATTATCTTGATGGTTATAGTATTTATCAAAAATTTTCTAATCTCAATTCTCGTTTTCAAAAACTTCTTAATTCATCATCTCTCCAATTTAAAATTACATTTCTTCACTCAACATCGAAAAAAAAAAGATTGATCAAAAATTATACACAAAGTATTCTTTTTTATAAAAGACAAATTCTTTCCATACATTTCTCATCATTAGTATATACTCATCACTGAACATCGATTTGTTATTTACTCGTCTTGAATCTCTTATTTTTGATTCAATTGAAGTAAATATTTTAATATCACTTCTTTCTCAATTAGCTTATCTTCCTCGATTGTTTTTATTAACTATTGACGCACAAAAAACTTTAAACGATTTAACTGATGTTTATCGATTAGTTTTTGATTTACTAAAATTGAAATATATCAGATTGTTTGCAATGGAATCTATCGATACCAATATAAGTGTATCTTTGCCAAATAGTCTTAATCAATAATTGAGTAATATCAAATATCTTATTATGGATCATCAATGTAGTTTTAATGAACTTTTCTCAATCATTTCTTATATATCTCAATTAAATCATTTGAGTTTCACACAAACAAAATAGATGCAAAAATTAAAAGTTTTGTCTATTAAAAGTCTTACTAAAGATATCACTTATCTTAATGCTGATCATTGGGAAAAATTAATTTTTGAAATACTAGTCATTCGTATAATTATATAAATGATTAGATGTGTTTTACGACTTTTCTGAAAACTCGATTAGGCTTAAACATAGGAGATATAAAGATATAGAAGGATCCAGAGGTGGTACAGAAGCTATAAGATGCCTATGTTTCTTGGCATCATCACCCGAGATATATTCGATGAGAGGCGAATGTGGGTGGCGCGCATTGCGGTAGGCTTCGTCCACCACCAAATTAACATAGCTCATTCTAAAAATAATGGATGCAGAGATATATCTTCAATATCTCTTATATGTATTATGCCTGGATTTAATCGAGTTTCTAGAAGAACCAAAGAATACATCATATGATATAAATGAAATTTTTGACATTTGAAAATTGATTGTTTTTTTCTTCATACAAAAAGATGGCATGAATACGATTCGCAATATTAAATGATCAATTCATTGAATGAATTTTCTAAATCTATGAAAATTATTTTTACGATTATTCTTTATTATGACGATCTTATCACGTTAAAACGAGCTATTTTTCATGTTTCAACTTTAGGAGAAATATATCATTTAGAAATCGACGAAGAAGTTTCTGTGTATATCTAAATAGAAATATTAATTTTATTAACTGAACTTGATTCGTTATAGGTTTCTTCTTTATTAAAATGTAAAAATCAAATTACAAAAGTTTATCTTAAGAAAATGATTCAAATAGAAGAAATTGACTTTTTAATCGAACTTTGTCCTCAGATGACATATCTCAATGTGGGTTTTTTAAATAATATAAATACTGAATTAGTTGTACGATTTGTTTTGATGAAAATTAATATTGAACATAATCATCAACTTCGATTATTATGTGTTCATGTTCGAGCAATAGATGATGAAATGATCGAAAAATTACATAAGATGATTTATTTTGAACAATTGTTGACAAATTATACAATTAAACGCATATCTGATGATATGTATTTACAATAGAAATGATTTTCGTATCAAACTGTCGACATAAAATTTAAAATTTATCTACTCATTTTTATATGAAAAACTTCTATATCTGTGAATAGAAAAGCATTATACTTGAGTGTTGACTATTCAATAAAACTTGAAGATAATGACCTAGTATTTTCTTTCATTAGTTTTCACATCATATGAAGTCAAAAATAGGAAAAATGTTTCTTATCTTTCAAACATTCTACAGATTTTCACATTAATTTGCTAAGAGCGAATTTTTTTCTGATCTTTTTCTAAAACCTGCAGCTTTCATCATGCTATGAATGATATGAACAACTCAATCGCGAAAATTACCTGTGCGACATTCGTACTTTGTACAATTATTTGCTTATACTAAACTAAAAGATTGAAAAAATCAAAAGGAAAAAAGTATATCATGAACGCAAAAATGATTTCACTACAAACGAAAGCAGCTTTTATTCATTTCTATTTGATGATCATTTTAGAGAGAATCAGTTGTACAAATGACAGGTAAATATTTGCTATAACTTGTTTTATTTATCAAAAATAGAAATTTTTGATCTAGTCAATTAGATTCGAATTGAATTGAACGCGTTTCATCTTCATTTGTCTATATAATCATTATTGCAATCGTTCTCTGTTTTTTTGCGTACTCAAAAAGTAAGTACACTATAGAATCGGTCAGTGTATCCGTCCGTATACACGATAACTCTTCAAAAGAGATGAGAGTGATTCGTCAAGAAATTGTTGAGTTATAGCAAACAATGTCATTCTTTCCTATGCGAACATAGACCTATCCCGATTTTCGTAAAAAGAACTTTTTCTCTCATAATCAAAAAAAAACCTCAACTATTATATACCATTCGATAGAGAATTTCACGGATTACAATATAGTATATAAAACACTAAGAAACAAGAAGGCTAAATCATCTATTACAAAGATACTTAGTTCAGCTGAAACTGATGACTACCGCATTATGAGTCGATGAACTGCAAGAACAACACTTGCATATATAGGCCTCCTGCGATCTTTATTGAATTAGATACTGAGACACAATGGTCAGTCTAGACGGATGAGTCATCATAGCCTGTCTAAACATCAAAATTATCCTAGCAAATTGTTTTTCGTAAAACTCGATTTCTATTTTAGAAAGTTTGATCAAAATCAATCTGTCGTCAATTATTTTAATTTTTTTGAAGTACACATAATATTCGGACTTGAATCTGATGTTTCCACATTTATTTTACCATTTGAAATTAATTTAACTATGATATTAATCAAACCAGTTAGTCTTTATGGTTTAGAATAAAAAAACAACAATTTTTTCAATAAATTTTATTCTCAATATAAACAATGAATAACAAAGACATTTTTCTAGATCGATATAGACAAGATCAACCTATCCATTCGAGCCGAGATAAATGATTCAACGTGAAAATTGACGGTATGGGTGTTGTTAGCTCTATATGTATAGAACAAAAGGACAAGCAGAGTCACTGATGTTATATGACAGAACGAAGAAAAAGATGACCTTCATGAGACGCGGATCCATACCTTCTGCTATTCGGGCAGATGTCCTAAGCCAGTTAGACTAGAAGAACCATCTTAATCTTCGTTCAGCGTCAGTATGCATTATCACTGACGCTAACAGTGTGGATGTGATTGTTGCTGAAAGAAGATCCACACTCACACTCACACTCTCGTGCTCATTCTTGATGACATGTCCAGACTGAAACACGAAAGCTCGAATGTTGTAGTTTTTATTTCTGTTTGAAATAAAATTTAAATAATGATATTTACAGCAGTTATTTATTCAATTTTTTCGTATTTATTTCCTACTACTCTCTCTCCTAGATTTATATATTTACTACGATGAACAACGTAGTTTTCTATTTATAGTTCAATTAACTATTCTAGAACTTTCTATGGAACATTCTGAGATATATCCCAGAAATCGCTAGATCTTTTAATAGATAAAAAACACATTTTCTCTCTCTCTATGGATAATTTGTTGTTGTAAAAAATTCATGTGTCTCTCTTCATTTTCCAGTAAAGCAGAGATTGAAAGAGCTTCAAAGCCAAAAATAACACTATACATATACTAGGTATGATGTGCTACAAGATGTTAGTGATAGAAGCTCCAAAGTTGGTTTCTCTAAGATAAAACAAGTGAAAATAAAAAATTATAGATGGTGTACGGATAATTTTTTGATCCACTATAGGTTGAAATGCTTTGATAATTGTAACTGACAATTTACGAGACGAACAACATTCATACAATACAAAAAAAACATGAAACATTTTTAAACTGTCCTCATAGTACTGTTTCTGTTGCATGTCGTCTTGTAAGTTGTTTGATTGACTTTTGTGACAGTCATCAACATGGACATATTAGTCTGAGGCACTTGTTGTGGACGCAGATAGTGAGGCAATAGTTTAATCAAGGCTTTCAGGAACGTTTGTCGAAATACACGTGATGTTAATATTGATAAATAAAATGATTTGACATAGTTTATATAGAAACAGTAATTTGTAAGCGAATAGGCAAAATTAATAATAGCCAGTTGTTCAGAGGTCCGATGACTGGAAGGAATACTATAATACATATACGTAATTGCCCATGGTAATGCAATGAAACCTGTTGCTATAACTTGTGTGAAGATCATAGAGATGAATTGTTTTCGAGAGCGATTTGGCTGTGTTCCTGTCGTTCCACTCTAAAATAAACGAAGATTATTTTTTTCAAAGAGAATTAATGAACTTACTACTCGTTGACGACTTTGACGAACATTCCGAAAAGTCAGCAAGACAAACACAAGCATTGTCACTGGTTGCATGAGAACCTGGATTATAAAATACAAAATATTATTGATCAGTGGATATCTGGCTACACATCCTAAACCATTATTGTACTCGAAAAGAATGAGTCCACGAAGTGAAGCGAGAAAACTCACGATGACAGTTATACCAATCAACCATGGTATCATTTTAAGTTTATTAAGACGACGCATGGGTGATGTCAGTTTACATGTACAAGTATATCGATCAATAATAGACATCAACAAAAAATTAATTGATAAATGAGGGAGAAATGCAAGCATAAAAATATTTAATTTGCATAGATTGGGTATCTTCCTCCATGGAATATATGTTCCATAGCGTGAACTCAGATAGAGTGGCAATGTATTTAAAAAAAGAACGATGACATCCACAATAGAACCACAGAATAAATATATACAACATGTATTCGATCGAAGATCAACTTGAATAAATGTTAAAGAATTGCCAATGAATCCGATCAGACCAAGAATGACGAATATTAATGGAAGATGATTCACAAATCGTTCTGTCACAAGATTGAGAACAACGATTATGTTTGTTATTTCTGTTGAAGTGATCACAGTTGTTGTGTTGTTCAAAGACATGTTAATAGATTAGTGCTCAAAAAATGACTATGTAACACTTCTATATGAAATAGCTCTTTTATTTATAGTATATCATTTTTTGCGTTTCTTTTTCTACAGTCGCTTAAGGCTTGAATAACTGTAAAATGAAATGAAATCAAGAAAAATGGAACACTATGACGTAAATACATTATTGTGAGGTCTTATAATCTATGAAATTATTGCTTTAATAATTAATAAAGTAGATTTTTTGATAAAATAAGTTTTAATTGAAAGAAACAAAATTAATAAAGCTTGACCATTCTTTTGAGAAAGAAAATCAAACTGTTTGTTTCATATATTAATATATTAATAAAATTTGATCATATATATATAGAATGAGGAGATTATTCTTATTAAAAATTTTGTACTCATAGCTAAAAATGATAGATGTAGGTCAAAGGTTTCCGATTACAAAAAAAATTGACATGTAAGAAAAATAACTACATTAAAAGTCTATTTTATACAGCTATCAATTTGACTATGGTAGCAAAGATGGGTGACTATATATGGTGTATTGTAAAATCTTGTTTGTCTAGCAATGATAACAAATCTAGATCAATTTTTTTATTTCTTCTTTGAAAAAAGATGAAATATTATAAATAATAAAATAATGCTGACTACAAAGATCGGCATTGGAACGAATTTACACTTAGTGATCTTGGCAAATCGGATTTTGAAAATTAAATATTCCATTTTTTTGGACCACATTTGGATTTTTTTCCAATAGCTCCAAGTACATTGCTTTTGTTTCGACTGAAATAAAAGATGTACTATATATTGACAAATATGTAGAATAAATACATATCTATCTTATAATCTTCAAAGAAAATTTAATTAATTTTTTAAATTACACTTTGATATGATGTTGGCACATGCTAAAAATGACAAAAGCTGAGAATAATCTTTGTAACGGATTGTCTTATAAGAACAAAATGACGTGAGCAAGCAGATTATCTTCAGTAATTAACAGAAATATCCTTATCATTAACGTAAAAGGTGTGAGAGAGAGGAGGAGGAGAGAAGCAGAAAATTGATAAAAAAGAATGAGAATAAAAACATCAGCGCATTTAAATAAACATTTTGTAACATGTATCGATAGTGTCAACTGATCTTAATAGTGAATTTTATTCTGAAACATGATCCGAAAAGAGTGTTGAAGTGTATAGAGGGCGTGCACTAGTGTCAAACCCACATCCACATCCTAGGCTCGAGAGTAGTGAGGACATGATCGAGTGGAAAAAGGATAGTGATGTTCCTTATCGACTGTTGTATTACCTCTCTGCTGCAAAAATCTTGTCATCCATGCCAATATCTTGATGACGTAGCACTGGTATTTTCTTTATCTCTGTTAGATTAGAATCAGAAAGGTGGCGATAGCTTTAAAATTTGTTCTTTCTTTCAATCTTACTTCGTTTAAGACATTGAAAAGATTGCAAATGAGATCTGCTAGATGTATTAAATAGTGAACAACGATACGCTTGTCGAATGTCCTATAAAAGAACTTGCAAAGACAAGATACACACACTTTTGTTGTGTGATCTGCCCACTATTCGTCGATAAGAAAAACTTTGATCTCCAAAGAGCTGAAATGCGCCGCTTTCGTTTACAATACACCAGAATTTTGCAGAATGTTTCTAACTGAGACTAGGTTGTCATATTGTGAAATTTTACATTTAATGCAATTGCAAATATCCTCTAAAAAAACTAGGAATGACTTTAAAAGAGCATTTGAAGACGAGGACGGACTAATCTGCCATTGGGCGGCAGAGGTCTCCTCGCTTCACGAATGGTTGCTGACACTTATTTTTTTAGAATTTATTTTTTCTTCCACGACTTATTTAATTATCTACCAATTATGTACATCTGGTTACAGACTAATAGTGTTTCACGCAATTTCATCGATAGAAAAACACAAAAAATGTCCTACTCGATCATATCATTGTCGTTGTTGGTTTCTTCTAATGAGCAAAAATCCACCGTTGACAGACAACATAATGCTTCATTCTGCAAACACTCATAAAAGTTTTCTGCGTAGACGAGTGCATCTGTTTAGATGCTCCTTATAAAAACACATTGTCTGTCCACGAAAGTGTATCAAAAGAAAATGCATACAGGAAACAACTTTCGTTTCGTATGTAGAGATAATTCATGTGATGCAAAGAGAACGCATAATCTCTACTACAGAATACGAAGCAAATTCATCTTGTTTATATGAGTGTAACATAATGAGAAACTTTCGACAAGTAACATTGTGAATGAAGCAGCACACCACAGAAAGACGAATATAGTCGATGCTGAGTTGATCAATACGCACATGGAATAGTATCGATGCATTTTTAAAATTGTTCATCGTTCTTTTATCAGTGGACAGTTAAATTGAAACTATGCGTTCTGATTGGATCGGTTCGAAATTACTACTTTTGCGTTTTCAATTGTACGAACGAGTTTTGACTTCGTCATCGATAAATATTTGATTTATTATCAAAATGAGTGACGGTGAACTTTTTTACTTTTCCTTGAAGATACTATTTCTCTTTGCAGTTTACTTCATGGCTCATTCATTTACTCGAGTAGTGTTGATGATGTAAATCCAATCGATTTCAAATTCAATTTAAGAAAAATATGAATACTCAATTTGTTTGATGCTAGGAATTATCTGAGTTTTCAAAAATTGGATGTTTATTATGATTTAATTATGAACCATTAGTCAGTACTTTTTCTGGAACACGATTCAAAGTGTTGAACTATAGGCTATAGGGTCACTGTATTCCCATTTCCACGCAAATCGTATTAGGCACTGTTCATAGACCGGCATAAGCCTTGAGAGATGTCTTAGCAACGTCCTTCCTCTTCGTTACGGACGATTTTACATGTTGATGATATTCAATCAAAGACCATATATTAATAGCGTCTCGTTATAATGAATGCATTATTTTTTCTGCATTTCTTGAGGGTTTAGCGGAAGAATGTGAAACAAATTTCTTCTAACATCAATAAAACAAAACCAGTTCTCTATGACCAGTGATAGTACGTACATCGTATTCTAAATTTTAATCGTGCAGAACTTGTGTTAACAGATTTTAGTTATGGGTTCTTCTGTAGGAAAGTGATCGGATATGCAGAAAACATAAACGATATGGCTGTGAGTGTATGGCAAGTGTGTGCCTGTTGATGTGAGCGTGAATATGAATCTATTCTCTATCATCACCCATACCTACAACCAGAACCACACCTATGGATGTATAGTTTCGCTGTTATCTAAAAGTGATTGCACCAATTGTATTTTTCTTGGTGGTCAACACCGATTGTTGTTCCAATCACAAGTTTCCAACCTTATTGCTTCAAAGAGAAAATCACTTGCAATGCGATTGTATACACAAGAATGATATGCTACTTTTCTAGGATTTTTAAATTCAATATTGTTGTATGAGAACGGAAAAACTTTATCTTTAATGAAGAAAAATTCGCTATCAACAACAAACAAATAATTCCATTCATAAATTACTTATCAAACAGTTTTCAGCAAAATTGAAAGTAACTATTCAACTGCGCCTTAACTAAGCAGCTCTTTTTTTCATAACAAGACGAAAGAAAAAGTGGGCAACTGAAATAGATATTGTTTGACTTTTGCAAATAATTCAAAGAAACTGAACAATACGGATGAGAGTGTAGGTGGATGTGGGTATGTAAAGTGTGGATATGGCTAGGGTGTGGGTGCGCATGGGTGTGAACGTGGATGCGCGTGTGACTGCTAGATTTGGGCGAAGAAAAGGCTGACACCCACACTCCTATACCCACAGCCTACCCCACATTCAATTCGATCATGTTGTTAAAATGCTGGAATATAAAAGAAAAAGTTGTGTATTTATGTTTTTGTTTCTTAGAACTAGAAACCTAAAAGAAACAAAAACGTCACCTCCTCAGATATGGGTGTAATTGTGGATTGGTTGAGAATGAAAAGACACACTCGTAGACTCCTGCTCTCGATATCTTTCCCTCTTATCTTATCTGCAAAACTTTTCAACATTTTTTTTCCAACTTACTCGACGGACACTATATAGGCAAGTGTGTTTCACTGTGTCTAATAGCATTTCGAATCCATTTGACCATCGAGCACAACTGATTCTAAAGCAAAACATCAAAGATGGCTTTATTACAGAGAAACGAAATTGATATCAAGGATATTGGTCGCAATGTGACAGTGCCTGACAATGATGTGGCTAGATTGATGTACTATCTTAATTGTGTTTGTTTCTCAATAGATTGTAATGATGATCCAGATATACGTCGTCTAACTAATTTTAACAAATGGTCAAGTTTGTCAGTTGATGAACAAAAAAAACTGCTCGTTCTTTGCTATGCTCTCAGTCCAGATGTCTTCAACAATAAAG